CTGCAACAATGGCATATTGCAAAGTGAGGGTGAAAGGTGCCCACATGTTTTGTTTATTTGGGTATTTGTAAAATACCATTTCTGTGGTGCAGTGGAACCCCACTTCTCCATGTTTTCAAGCCATGTATTGAAAGAGTATGCAAAGAACTTGAAAGGCCTTCCGTAACAGTCTTGCCATTAGTGTAGAAGAACTGCCTTTGAGCCACTGAGAAATACACACCAGCTACCACCTCTGTTGTGCTGCAAGCACTCCAAAAGGGTTTTTTCTCTCACCCACTACCCAAGTTCTTGGTATCAGACAGGTGTGCAGCATCCCTCCCTGCTTCTTTCACACTAACGAAAGAAGCTGGAAACAAACCTCAAGCTGAATTTGGAAACAAAATTCATCCAGCCTTCTTCTGACTATCCCGCAAATAACCGTTAAAAATGCCCAACATTTTTGTGGGCTGTAAACTGCAAATAACATCCCAAGACGTTTGCCCAGCATACGATGCATTACAATTTGCCACGTGGGCACATGGAATCAAATATAAACATGGCCTAAAGTGATGCAAGCACAGTAAGAAAAGTAATACAGTTCAGATCTCGTGAAGTTAAATGGAACTTCCGTATCTTTTATTTTTACTTACATGATAGAAGAAAATGATAGATAATGGAGGTAAAAAAGGAAAAGAGTGTTTCTTCAGATAACCATAGAAAATTTTGTGAAACTCACTCACAGGGAGAAAAAAAAGCCAGTTTTCTCAGCTATTTTAGTCATATCTGTCTCATGTTGGAGGTAGAAGATTCAACATTTACAAAACAGAACTGGCTGTACAAGAAAAGCTGATAAATCAAAGTAGTATCTCATAATGCACATTTATGAATAATAAATAAAAGTACTGCTGTTGGAGATAGCTATATTTCAGTTAATTAAAGAGTACAGTATCAGAAAGTGAAGACTGTTAGCCTCAGAGGAGGAAATGAAAACATACAGACAGGAACAGCACTCGACCATCAGCAGCTGGCACACTTCTATCTCTCCAAAGCTTCAGTAAGCAAACAAGCTCCACAAAGCTCCTAATAGTCACTGCAAGCTCAGAGCTACAGGAAGCCAACAAAATTGGGATCCCTTGAAGGAAGGACATTTAAAGGTGCCTGACTAACAGATAAGGCACTGTGAGACATGGCTCTCAATTCGGCAAGTTCTAAACTACTTGGGCCTTCACAACCCAAAAGCAACAGGTGAAACGCCAACAAACGAAGAGGTGTTGGTCACCCAACAGGATAAGGCAATTCAGTTACAGAGGTGAGCAAAGAACTTAACAGCAAACAAAGCGTGGATTATACAAGCCTTTTACAGTGCTCAGAGCTTTGGGAGGTATATAAGCTTCTGCAATTCGGTGTGGAATACCTGTAAAACAGTCAGAAACAGAGATTACTTATGCTAAAAGCATATAATATTTGTATTGCAGCTACACACCCAACCATGACCGGACTCAATGCGTTAATTCCTACCAAATGCACTAACCTGTTTGATAACTTCTTAAGGCCAGAAAAGACAGTTGGAGTTATAAGCTTGATTTCAGTAGTCTAATTAAACCAATATGCCTCATCCCTTTGCTAATTTCTTCGAGATGACTGCAGTGGGAATTGCACTGGTGGCAATTCTGTCCATATTTTCTTTTTATGTTCTGTGCTGAGCAGGTAGCATAACACTAGTCCAGAACCTGAGCATCTCGAATCCCAATTATTAATTGCAATTTTGTAATCAACAGAAGACATGACATATGATCTTAAGTAGACAAAAGCAATGAGTCTAACCTGTGTCTGCACAGTGTTTTCTTACTATACCAACATTACGCCCAACAATACTTGTTCTGGGGACAATTTTTCCAGAGTTGATCATCTTTTCAGCAAACTGATTTCCTTAAGAAAATTACTGTCCCAAAAGAAGACTTATCAGAATTCTTTTAAAAGATGGGGTACAGCCAGGACTGAGTGGCCCAGAAATTTAAAGGAACAAAACAACCAAAAAAAACCCCCAGAAACAGCAAACCACAGACTTTACATCATCATCTATAACCAGGCTAATCTTGTACAAAGAGAATTCACACAAACACACGAAATGCACCATCATATAAAATGCCTTTCATAAACATTATTATATATAATTTTTAAAAAGGCACAGAACCAAGATGCTCCAAAGAGTAAAACCCTGCTCTACCAGCCATGGCAAAAATACTGAGAGAACATAGTGTGTTCTGGGAAAATATGGGCAACCCTCAAACTACAGCAGCAGAGAAAAGAGCAAACAAAAAGCATGCAGAGAAAGGTAGATCAGTCCTACAAGCAGCAAAGTACTCCCTGAGCCTTACTGCACAGAAAGTGAGGAAGCAGGAGGACCCAAAACAGCACAAACACAGCTAGCCCTCCCCACATCTATTATTAGTTCTGAAATACTTAATAACAGCACTGGCCTCTTGCACGGCAACAGTATGTTAGTATATGGTCCACAGGTATGGACCAGTGAAGGTCTGACTTGTATGCTAAGTCATGTTCATCCAGACATCACTAATAGGAACCTGTTTAAAACAATGAAAAACCAATATAATTTCACATGTTTGTAATAAAGAGTCCACTGTAACTAGAAGCATATGACTGAGGCACTGTTTACAGTAATTCTCTACTTTGTCCAAATCAGATATTTCACATTATTCAACACAAAGTTCAGTTGTCCAGGGAAACAAAAAACATTTGAATATTTTTTTAAGTTACTGAAAACGTGAGCCCTGTGGAAAACTATGTGATCCACCCAACAGATCAAATCAAAACAGTGTATTATTAGTACAGAATTAGGGTAACAATTTAAAATATTTAAACTAATTGCTTATATAACTATTGTAACAGCTGGAAAAACAAACATTCATTGTGTTCAGTGTGGAAATCAAGTTATCACCTAGCTTAGCCAGTATCTTGTTGAGATTTTTTACTTTTATTTTCTCTTTAAAATGAAGTTAATACCTACTATGGATAGCTACATGATTACTGATATGTCCACTGTAATTTTTCTGGCAAAAAAACAAAACTCCCTTTTTTTATTTATAAGGGGTTTACAATTAAATTTAAAGCAGCTTCTTATTCAACTGCTACCACCACAATGCTTTTTGGTTTGTTTTGTCTATTTTTTTTTTTAAACAGGGGCTATATAGAGTCACAGAGCAAAATATATTTTTTTCATTGTATTAAAAATTGCTTTTGCATCTTACCAGAGAGTCTCTTTTACAATATGATACATGTGTAGTAGTTGTACTGCTACTGCTACAGATCTCATGGAATCAGCAGGTGGCTGAAATCACCTCATGGCAAAAAACAGTGTCATGATAGTCACCTATCAAATTTTCAGTAAAAGATTTCAAACAGAGCACATCTAAAAATTACCACTTCAGCATTTAAATTCTGTGTATTGTTCTTTCACGTGAAAACACTTTGGCATGCTACACAACATAAAATAGTCCCCAAACCCCTTCAATAAAACACTGATTCTGTGAATTTCATAAACAGGTAACACTACTTATAGTAATAATTGTGTCATGTGTTTGAACTGTTAAGGCTTTTGTCCCAACATAGCGTTGGCTTGTTTTAATTTTAAAGACAGCGTCTCACTAAAGCAGTCATGTCCATTTGGAGATAGGGCAGGAGGAGACATAAGATCCTGTTTCTTTAAACTGAAAAAACCTCAGTGCTTTTCCCAGGAACTAAAATACATTTGTAAATACGGTATGTATACACAGAGATAACTTCCAGCCCATGATAAAACTGCTTAATAAAAAATTCTAAACACAGACCATACTAGGGGAAAAAAGAATTAGAGGTGGAATTGTTGATACAGTCTCTTACTACGCTGAAAACTTTATTGATGCTGCTAATACTTGTACTTCCTCTACATTTCAGAGTCCACTTTTATCTCATTGATTCTGTCATTTCCCTGCCTACCTCCTCATAAAATTAATCTATTCAGGATAGCAGCAGTCCTGGATCTCCCAAAGCAGAACAGTTATACCACAAGCATCAATTTTATTCTCTCATTCAGACCAAGATCTTATGCCCCAGGGAAGATCACTGCTTCTAGTGGGCCAGTTTGCTTTCTGCATTTTATCTGGCTCTTTGAGAGAATTTAATCCTCACCTTACCCCTCAGCAATACAAGATGAAGTACACATTTGCGTAGGGAACAAGTACGTATTTGTCTGAGACAAAAGTAGTTAGAGTGTAGCAGATGTTATTGTTGCTTCCTTCCTCTTATCCTCCCACTCTGCGCCCCCCATACATCTGAGAGCAGTAGAGGACGTTTGGATCAATTTAGCAAGCAAACGGGAGACGAGTGCCTTCTGGTCCGCAGCGAGAGGCTCACGGCAAGCACCGTGGCCGGCCGGCCTGGGGCAGGCAGGGCAAGGGATGGAGGCAGGACCGGCCGCCACCGCCGCGCTGCTCCCCTGAAGCGCCCGGCCCGACCCGACCCGCCCGAGCGGAGCCCCGGCCGGAGGGAGCCCCGGCGGCCGCTGGGCGGGCAGCCCCACCGCCGGCCGAGCGCTGCGAACAGTCCCGCCGACAAGCAGCGACCTCCTCCAAAAAGATCCCAGAAGAGGCCGAAGAGCCTCTGCCCATCCGCAGTGCCCCCCCTCAGCCCTGCGGCGGGAGAGGCCGTCCAGCCCCGCGGCCCCGGCACGACAGCGCCGTGCCCAAGCTGGCCCGCAGCCGGCGGGGCTGAGGAGAGGCTTCCACCTACGGGCAGCTCCGCTCACTACAGGACGCCGAGCAGCCCACCGGCGGCGGGCACCAGCACCCCGCTCCCTCTTCGCCTCCCACCTCTCCCCACCCGCCACACGCCGCCCACCGAGCCCCCGCGCCCGCCCCGGAGCATCAGGCCGCTCGCCGCCGGCCGCTTCCCCCCCGCCTCCGCCGCGGGCGAGCAGCGAGGGACGGGCGGCGACCCCCGCCCCGCCGGCCCCCGGCCCGTACCTCGGCTGAGATCGAGGGGGACGTTCTCCTCGCCGCTGTCGTTGCGACCTGCGGGGACGGGGGAAGGGGTGGGGGGGGGAGGGGGAGAGAAGCGCGTTAGGCTGGCGGGGAGGAAGGAGCCGGAGGAGAAGAAAGGGAGGACAGGCACGGAGAGGGCGTCCGGGCACCGGCGTGGTGCGAGAGCCGGCACGGGAACAGCCTGCCGCCGCGGCCTGCCCGGGGCCCCTTACCTCGGATGCGGAGGTGCCTCAACGAGCGGGCACGGAGGCTCACCGCCATGTTTACGGCCCCGCAGTCACAACACCGGAAACCTCGCCCGCTCTCGCGAGGAGAAGCCCGCGGAGCCGCCGCCGCGGACAGCCCCTCCCTCCGCCGGCGGGAGGAGACCGCAGCGGCTGGGGCGGGGCGGGGCGGCGCTGGGGCCTGGCTCCGTCACGGTGGCTCCGAGGGGGAGCGGGAGGGATGCAGCTCCCCGAGCTTCCCCGGGGCGGTGGCGGAGGGCTCCGGCGGCTGGGGGCGGAGGGGTGAGCGCCCGCCATACCGCCCCCCCGTACCGCCCCGAGCCGCTGGAAGCTGCGGCTGAGGGAGGAGCCGCAGTTCCCTCAGAGCCGCGCGGTCCCGAGGGCCGCGCCCGCCGCCGCGCTTCGCTGCGGGGCTTCTCCGCAGGCGGCTCGGCCCCGAGGGGACAAAGCTGAGGGGAAAAGAGGGTGGCGGGAACGAAGGGGGCGGCTGAGGGGCTTCCTCGCCGCGCCGGGGAGCGCAGCAGAATGCCTCCTTTTCCTGAAGAGCGAGGCTGCCCTGCTGGGAACTGCCTTCCTACTTAACTGCTCTGTCACCACATCTGAAGGTTTTAGTCTGTCAAGTGGTTTTGTATTTTATGAGGCTTGACTGCTTAGTTTTCCTTTTTCAAGCTGCACTTGCGTTGTGATGAGATGGTAATTCACGTGGATGCGGAATGACCACTGGCTTTGCACACCGGAAGTTTTCTGCATTTTGCTTTTTAATAAGGAATTGAAAAACAGGGAAAAATAGCATTTCATTGCTTTCTTGACATACACTCAGTGGGTTCCTGCAGTCTCGAGTATTAATCTATGTCTTACCTTGATATTTGTTAAACTTACCTAATAAGTGTATATATAAAAACAAAACCTTTGAAGTCCCAATACAAGAAGCAATATGCTTTTATGTACTTCATCTTGTCCTTTTTAGGCAAAAGTTTAAATAAGCAGGCAACACCTTGCATTGTTCTGACACCAGGCAGCTGTATACAAGGCAAGTTATTGCACCCAGACTTCCCAAATTCTCGGGTACAAGACCCCAAATAGTAACCGATCTGAAGTGAGAAGTGAAAAATGTCTTCACAAACTCAGCTGTTTTCCAGCTTTGTAGTCCACCGTTTTCCACTCAGTTTTCCCTCTTGTCTCTTGAGGTCTTTCAGTTCAGATCCTGTATTACTCATAAAAGTCTGGTTTTACTAAGTATTCATGAACATTACGTTTCATCTCAAAAATTGTAAATTAGTTTTTACACTGATTAGTGCACTTCTAAAACATTAATACTGATTTTGGAGGTTAAAAATAATTACTTGTAAGGACAGTACACAAAAACTTTCTGGCATACCAGTTCATGACATACATATAAGAATCTCGGTTTAACTGGATTATGTCAAATATATTTAACTTATAATACCATTTTCAACAACTTCCCTATTTCAATTTTTGCTTATTAAATATGAAGCTAATGTTATTGAGGAACCCCAGGTTCTCAAAATTAGAGTATAAACAATAAAATCTCATCCATGCATAACACACTATCAAAGCATATCAAACTTCCTTAAGTAGTGTCATCAGTATGCCTCAGGGCTCTCCTTTACAATTTCATGTCCAGGGAACCCTTGACTTCCTGAAGATGCCAAATTAATTGCTGCTTGTGGTAGTAATAATGCATCCTGTTTACTACAAGTTCTGCTAGGAATAATTCATTTCACATAAGCTTTGAAGCACCAGTAAGTGTTGGTCCCTTAGTAAATTTCTTATTGGATTTGAACTTGTCATCTACATTTAAAATGCTTTGGACCATCATGCTAAATGCTACTGCCATACAGCACTTCTTTCCTTACAGATACAAACTCAAGAGAGACATGACACAGTTTTAAAAAAAACAGAATATCATCTTCCAACAAGGCAGAGTAAGAAAGAAGTAATGTTTAAACTTCAGTGTGCTCTTCTTCATCTTTGTACCTGCAGACGCCCTTTAATAATCAAAATAATTCACTTAACTCACTGGGTTCCAGTTTTTTCTTTTTTTTTTCCCCCCTAGATGAATTATGCAGACATAATTGAGGTTGTCTCTGATAATGACACACAAAATAATGCCATATTGTCAGTTATAAGTGGTAACCCGCAAGGCTATGTTGAAGGTAGTTTGGAATATAATTAGTATTTGCCACAACTTGGGAAAACAAAACAATACAAAACAAAACATTAGATTTTTAAGTTTTTGGTATGGTGAAATGGAAAACACCAAGTATGCATTAGCCTTAACTACCACTTAGATACATGTGAGCTCCCCAGGGGAAAAACAAATCAAAAAAAGTTAAAAATGCTGCAAAGTGAGTCTGGCCCTTAAAATGTCATGGTCATCACTGGTATGAAAAGTCCTCACCCTGTGAGAGTAGAGTACATTTTTGATCTATTTTTGGACCTTTTCCCATGTTTTTCCATTAAATGTTGGGAAAGAATCACAAAAGTTTGATTAAAAAGTTTTAAAGGTTCCTTACCTGCCAAATTTTCTACACATTTTTATCAGTCACTATTGCTTCTGAGTATGCAGGAAGGGAGAAAAGTGGAGGGGGGGGAAGAGAAAAAAAGCTCTTTTGTCCATTTGGAGAGGGGAAATTAATAGCAAAGAGAAAATTAATTTCAGTGGTCTCATGGCTTGTCTGTGTCACAAATTACAGTTGATCCTGCATAAGGTAGCTTCTTCAGTTTATTATTTTTGTCTGTCAGTGTCTAAATTACAATAAATCAAACCACTATAAATCAAATTAAAGATGTTTTAATGGCCAAATGGGGAATCAGACTAGTTCAATTTTACTTCTTAGTTTATAATTTTATATGAATATAACTTGTATATATAAATAAGTAAATCTCCTGAAGCCAGGGACACAGTGTGAAAACAGAGTTTCCTGGGAGCTGCTGGCGTGCTTCCTTTCCCACCTGAAAAGCACAACATATGAGAAGATAACAACAAATCTCCAGTGTCACCTGGAGGTTTGCAGAGGCAGGTTAATCTTGAAACCATGTTAAAATGTTTGTACATGCTCGGTGGTGGATAGGGGCTTCTAAAGCTAGAGCTATATTTTTGCACATACATGTAAGGGCTCATGAAGAAACTGCTTTGTTCCATCATTTTCCAATCAGAAAGCTGTCCCTTTTGCCTCCTTACATGTGGGATTTTGCCAGTGACAGCTTTTTGATATGCCAAGTAGGATTTTGCAATATGCTGTAGAGGATACTACTATGTGAATTAGAAATCCTGAAGATTTAAAATCTAGTATGAAGATCAAGGAGAAGAGCTTTCCAATTGTTTGGAGTGAAATGAAGAAATATAGGTATGAGGGACAAGCTAGAGGCAGAGACTAAATTGTTTAAACTCCGTGGAAATGAATAAGGATGTGCAATTTACACCATTTGCAGCCTGCCCTCCATTTCCATGTAGGAGAAAAAACATAAACTTGAATGAGGCTATGCAGATACGAGCTTAACCTACTCGGTTCAACTGAGCTATAGTGATTTGTAGTTGTTGAGCATCTGTAACACTCCTCCTTAATCTGCCATATCATAAAATTGCCTTTAAACAGAATGACAGTAGGACAAACAGGAAGAAGAGAAAATACGGTGAATGAGATCAAAAGGTTACAAAAAAAAAATCATTCCTTCTTTTGATATTGCTATACTGTTAGAAAGAATTTTTGTAATCACTCTGTTTAAACTTTTTCTTCACACGAAGCCCATCAAACTGCTTAGGAACAGATAATACAGGAGCTCTATTTTCTGCAGCCAAGAAATATTGGCAGTGGAGGTATAAAAAAGGAAGGTATAAAGAAACCTTCACTGATTGAATGAAGTATCTCAGAAGTTGGTCAGTGGCCAAATACGACAGATGAACAGGTCTGCACCAAAGATGACCAGATATTGGTTTGTCCATTTGATATTGCAAGAATCACTTGACCTGGTTTTTCTTATGTAAAAAAATCTCAGACTGTAAAAATATCTGGTTCAGCAGCAGCTCGGAGTCAGGTCAAGAATAAGTGCTGATGGGAATTTGGTTTAGAAGTTCTACAGTTTGAGACATTCAAATCCAGCTCATCAGCACATTTTTAGCAGCTGGACAAATGCATAGTATCGAGTTATTGGCAGCTCTGTCCTACCAGCGGTCACTCTGAAGTAACACCCAGGTACTGGGGCAGACCTGCACACTGCGTGGCCCATGGGCAGCCACACACTGATATTCTCAGACCTCCGAGTGCTACACAGTGGGTGTAAAGTGGTAAGAGCCTGCGCAATGCATCTCCATCCAGTGATACAGAGCAGTCTGTGGGAGGGTGCAGCTGCAGCTCTGGGCTTGTGTGCCTGTTTTGCAATAGAAGGTGCTAGGACCTGCAAGGGGGAGGGTGGTGCTGCAGGATTTAAAAGTGGAATGAGTCTTCAGAGGATGTGGGAATGGAAACGAGGGGGAAAAGGTGACCCGACTAGCTGCAGCTTAATTTGCATAAATCGAAGTCCTTCAATGAGATGTTCTTGAGAATTGTGCTCTGTGTCTCTATAATACAGCAACAAGCAGAAATAGGAAAGCTCCTTCTTCCAGCATATAAAATCAGCTGCCACCTGGGAACAGTGTCTCTTTGCCCTGGACCCTACCAGGGGATCTGAGAAAATGTGAATGTGACCAGAGCTCTGTTGAAAACCTAGCAGAATTTCAGATATCAGGACAGAGAGAGGGTTTGAAACACAAGGGCAATATATAAGCACGGGTATTGCATTTTACACACATCTGCTCCCTTGGGATTCCAGCTGACTGATGAGATCGGTTTGGGGATGGCACTGGTGTCATGGAGGTCCTGTAAATATACACTGGGCTGTCTTTGGAGAGCCTTGCACTGGTCCTAAGCCAAAACTGTCTAGTTCATCCAATGTGACCATCAAGGTGCAGTGCCCAGGGATGTTCCTGGCACTGTTTTAAGTGACTAGTATGGATGCAGAATAGTGCTTAGGCTGAGTTTGGTTGTAGGTGGGTTGACAAGCTGCTCAGACTGGGACA